CAGGCACATTGAGTACAAATCTCACGCACATTAAGTATAAACCTCACGCACATTAATCCACCGCACATCCGCACGGGAAGCTACAAATGCACCTGATCCCTTCCCTATATAGTATGCTAATTTATATGAGTATGAAATTATATTTATTTTTGAAGGATATAAACTATATTTATTTAAATTGGAGGATAAATATTATGTTTGATAAAAACTCTATTTTGGAAAATGTATATATATTATATATACCCTATGTTACCTTGGAAAGAATATTTGAATAGCCTGCGGGCAATGAAAATACATATGAAAACCTATTTTGAATACAAATTATGCTGTGCATCTGTATGCACCATGCATGGTGCATGGTGCATGGTGAATATGGATGCAAAAACGACGTCGTTTTGCATCAAAACGCACATCTTACTTTAAAAAAAAAAAAATCAGTTTCGATTTCCAGCAACAACATTATGTTATTCATTTTTTAGTTCATTTATTCTGGATGTATAGTTATGCAATTCTGGATGTGTAGTTATGAAGTTATGGATGTATAGTTATGCAATTCTGAATTTATAGTTATGAAGTTATGGATGTGTAGTTATGCAATTCTGGATGTATAGTTATGAAGTTATGGATGTGTAGTTATGCAATTATGGATTTATAGTTATGAAATTATGGATGTGTAGTTATGTAATTCTGGATGTATAGTTATGAAATTATGGATGTGATGAAATTTAGATGTGCAGTTATGCAATTCTGATTTTTTTTTTTTTTTTTTTTTTAAAGTTAGGCGTCAAAACGACGTCGTTTTTGCATCCGTATGCACCATGCACAACATACCGATTGTATTTTGAAGGAACATTACTATCTTGAGGAATTATATAAAAATGTATTTATTTTGAAGGGTTATCCTACTTGATCTGGACTGTATTGGAAGTGGACCTCAGGCTCTATGTGATTGATGTGATATTGGCGGGCCTCTAGCTCTGTTTGCAATGGGTCCGGTTGTGTTGGAAGCTCCGGATAGGTCGGTGGTGTGAATACACCGATCAACCATTATGAACTATTCGATAGTATTGGAAAGCTCCGAGTTGCCATTATGATTATGTTGGATATAGGCGGGGCCTCTAGTTCTGTTTGCAATGGGTCCGGTTGTGTTGAAAGCCCGGGACAGGTTGGTGGTGTGAAAATCGGCAAATTATTGTATGGACCATGGTCCACACAATGTTATGTGGACCGCAACAAAAAGTACATTTTTAATATATTAAATGTACATTATTTTTGTACTGTATATACATTATACAATATAATGTACACTCAGTACAAAAATAATGTACATCCCCTGAATACAATGTACACTATTTTTGTATTGAATGTACATTATTTTTGTATAAATGTACATTATTGACAATATACAAAATATGGTCCATACAATTTGTGTGGACCATGGTCCACACAATAATGATGCGTGAAAATCCTGATCAACCATTGTGAATTGATTCGGTAGTATTGGAAAACTCTGGAGTTGCCTTATTGATTGATGGGGAAACCTGGTATAAACATACCCTTGCTAGAGCTAGTAACTACCTGTTGGGCTTGGAATCCCAATTGGGAGTGTGCACACAGAAGGTTCTAGATCTGTTTCCATTGGTATTTAATTGACGATGATATTGAAGTTGAGATTGATACCTCCATACTTGTGATTGATTATGATTGAGATACCTCTAGTTGTGCATTATTTTGCTATACTGATACTTGAGATTGAGATTTGAATTGTCTATATGCCTATGAAATGATTTGAATACCTCCATATCCATATCTATGATTATGTATGCATGCTGAGAATGATTTTGAGAAAATCTATATATGAAAATGACTATATTGTTGCGAATTCCTCCATATACTTATATATATCCAATTATACTTTGACTCTTTGAGAATGATTATTTAGAAAGTTGTGTTTTGAAACGAATTGAAAAGTATTATTTGGAAAAAGCTAAGGTTATTGATACCAGCAGATGATCCAAGGTTGGTGCTTGTACAGAAAACATATAAAGATCTTAAAAGAAGGTTTGGAAGAACTTATTAGGTAGGAGAGAAGGTGAACTCAAGGAACAATTGATCCACTTTTTACCTTTATTCTGCTATCATTTGTTTCCTCTTTTTGAACTTGACAAGGCAAGGGCTATCACTCTAGGTGATAGATTGATTTTATGGTTCATACAAGGCAAGAACTTTAATTTACTTAGGAACTCCTTGTATGGTTCTTTAGAGCATCACCACCAGCGCACCATAGCATCACCACCAGCGCAACAGATGGGAAGCACAAATTTTAACAAAAATAATGCTCCTGCAAAGATCAAAAGAATGGCAGGAGAAAAAAAAATGCATTGTGCGTTAGGCGCAATTCGCGCCCACGTGTTCCACACGCGCCCGTTGAGACGCGTCAGAGTGGCCGTCAGCTGGAACTAAACATCAAGATTGTGTGTAGATTTTCAGTTACATAAAAAGACAAGCCAAATTAGGCTTTAAAGGACCCATAGAAGATTCCACATTTAGAGAACATCAATTGAAATTGGAGAGCCAAACAACACTTCCGTGTGCTACTGTTCTCGCATTGATTCATTAGGCTACTTGTTGTAGTCCATCTATAAATTAAACCAAAAAAGAAAACAAACAGACAAAATCAGGCAGAATATTAAAAATAAAATGCTGATGTTTTATCCTGCACATATTCTCCACATGAGGGTTGGACTTAAGCGCTCTCAATTCGCATGTCTAGAAGGCATCAAGCAGTTCTTAGGGAAGGCCGAATAAATGCTGCAGCTCATATCAATGTCGAACCAAACAGAAATAGAAGAGAAATTCTTGGTTATAAATAACAAAACAAATTAAGCATTTGTATATCAGCTAAAGATCCCTTGTCTTATAAGTTATAAATAGTACCTTGTGGTAGAACAAAATATCAACTTCTGTTTGAGACTTGTGCCTTCTGCTGTATGTGGTACCACCCCCGCAAGCTGGAAGGTACATGTTGTGTAATTCCAGCTTGGAAATGAGATCATAGAAGCTATTCTGTGCATGAGGTTCGGTAAAAACATATGCAAGCTAGTTAGATGTGGAGACATGTAGTAACTTTAGGACTCCTTTTTGTAGTTTCTCTCTTACTAGGTGATAGTCTATTTCAACATGTTTTGTTCTCTAATGAAACACAGGGTTTTCAGCTATAGCAATGGCAGACTTGTTGTCACAATACAACAAGGCTGGAGGATTTTTAGCTATCCCCACATCCTGCACAAGATATAGTAGCCATTAGATCTCACAAGCTCGTATTGGCTAAGGCCCTATATTCTAAGAAGAGCTTCTAGATATGGTGGCCTGCTTCTTGGACTTCCAAGTGATCATAGATGTGCTAAGGAATATGCAGAAACCAGTAACAGATCTCCTGGTGTCTGGACAAGCAGCCCAATCTGAGTCAGTGAACCCCTTCAGCTTCAAGGATGAAGTGGCTGGGAAAAAGAGACCTTGCCCTGGAGCTTCTTTGATGTACCTTAGAATCTTGTGAGCTGCGGCCTGCATATGTATGTTGGTAGGGCATTCTAAGAACTGAAATAACTGTTGAGTGGCATATCTAATGTCAAGTCTTGTAATAGTTAGATACAAGAGTTTTCCCACAAGCCTTCTGTGCTTATGTCCAGTGTCTTTGCTTAACCTGATTGATGTAACCATGGGGCTTTAACTGGTTTTTGCAATGTAAAAATTCTATTTCTTCAAGAAGTTCCAAAGTGTATTTTCTTTGTGTCATGGGTATGCCTGAACTGTTCCTTGCAATTTCAAACCCAAGAAAGAACTTAATGTGGAACACATTGTCTAAGTGCTTTTTGATCTGCTGAACTTGATTTAAATGAGAGCTTGCTATCACAACATCATCAACATAAACAAGTAGAGCCACAAAATTATCTCCTTTTCCTTTAATAAATAGAGAAGGGTCAGATAATGCTTGCCTGGAACCCATATGCATCAGTTCTTGAGTTAGTTTCACATTCCACTACCTGCTTACTTGTTTCAAACCATATAAGCTCTTCACTAATTTGCACACTTGACCTAGTCTCTGGGGAGTAAAACTAGGAGGGATTTTCATGTAGCTTGTGGAGAGCGCGATAGTGGACCTAGATAGTGTAGTTCTTATGCTTCCCGTTGTTTAGACTTATGACCTGTGTGCCTTGTTTCTTATGACTCTGTTTATGGATAGTTGGTTTAGACTAGCCTGTGCACCTATAGATGTGGCCCGTTTTACAGTTGACTAGCTTCCGCTTTGTTTATGTTTAATGCTTAGATTTTATCTCTTATTTAAGCTTTTAAATTTTGGTAAAATCGGGTGTTACATCAGCAGTCCACATCTTTGTGACTTTGTTTACATCAAGCACGTTGTTATGACAATTGGGTTGAACACATGGGGTCTTGTGCTGTACAACAACCTCGAGGCACTGCTACTTTTTCCAATTGAGCTACTTATAATGGGGGAATTGAAGAAAATTAAGCATGATAAGGAGGAATCAGATTGGTATAGTTTTCAAGTGGTCCTGCCCATAGGGCTCTCATGCTTGTTTGGTTTATCCATTTCTTTCTTCGGATTCTCCTGTCTTTAAAACATGTTAAAATGATTCATTTGTCAACTGCAATTGTATCAAACACAGCTCTAAACCTCTCTTTAAATGTTCATTTTTCCAAAGTGATTGTACCACTAAATCTGCTGATTTTCTTGTCTACAAAACACCAACAAATTCTTAATATCCAGCTTGTGCTTATACCTGTCAAAATTTACAGCATAGCATAGGAATGTACCAACAAGCAAAAAATAAAAATAAGAAATAACAGTATCTGTTTTTACTTCAATGAAAAAGTATATACTGTTGATAATTTGATATAATGCAGGTTTCAAGAATAAGTGAAATTCAATCACAAAGGGAGTTGAGGAATTAAATCCTTTGTCCCATATACTAAAAAAATTTATTGAGAGGAAATGGTGTATTGTCAGTTTGAAACAAACTAAAATATCTCCAGCCAAAAGTGAATAAATCTCTAAGGTTTACAGACAGACACGTAAAATCTCTCAACCAAAAACGAACAAATCACTGCATCTCGCCTTGATTGGAATTGCAAAACCGATTATGGCAGGGTGCTATTCTATCAACCACGGTTCTTGAGCTGGTGTCGATTCGCATAATTCTCCTTCTTTGAACCACAGAGCTGCAAAAGGGGAAGTTACACAACAAGAAACACGGTTTTTTTGTTATCAAGATTGGCTAAAGCAAACGGGAAATTCTTGAATTTAGAATTAAGGGGGTGTATTCAATCATGACTTTTATAGAGTTTTAAAGACTTTTATGAACTTTGATGGCATGTTTGGTTTATGGAATAGGTCAGGAATGGAATAACATTTCTTGGAATAGACCTATTCCATCGTTTGGTTAGATCATTTTGCCATGGGAATAGCATGCCTAGGAAAATAGCCATTCCTAGGGGGGCCTTGGTATTAGCTATTCCCATGTCCTTGGGAATAGCTTTTATATCACAAATACCAAAAATACCCTTTGCACATTATATAATATTTATATTTATTTAATAAATATAGTGTATTATATAAATGTATATATTTAATTAATTATAATTTTTATCCATCAATCTTTCAAT